TATATATATATATTTTTTTTTTTTCGAGATGGAGTCTCACTCTGTCACCCAGGCTGGAGTGCAGTGGTGAGATCTCAGCTCACTGCAACTTCCATCTCCCAGGTTCAAGCGATTCTTATGCCTCAGTCTCCCAAGTAGCTGGGATTACAGGCGTGCCCCTCCATACCTGGCTGATTTTTGTATTTTTAGTAGAGATGGTGATTCACCATGTTGGCCAGGCTGGTCTTGAATTCCGATCCACCTGCATTGGCCTCTCAAAGTGCTGGAATTACAGGCATGAGCCACCCATCACACCCGGCTTAGAGATATATATTTTTAAGAGACAGGGTCTCACTATGCCCAGGTTGGAGTGCAGTGGCTACACTCAGTCACAATCATTGCACATCACAGCCTCAAACTCCTGGCCTCAAGTGATTCTCCCACCTCAGCCTTTCAAGTCGCCGGGACTACAGACATGTGCCACCACACCTGCCTAAGCTAAGCATATGACATATTTGAGTACTTTTTTTTTTGAGACTAAGTCTCGCTCTGTCACCAGGCTGGAGTGCAGTGGTGCAGTCTCGGCCCACGGCAACCTCCAACTCCCGAGTTCAAGTGATTACCCTGCTTCAGCCTTCTGAGTAGCTGGGACTACAGGCATGCACCACCACGCCCGGCTAATTTTTTGTATTTTAGTAGAGACGGGGTTTCACCACAGGATGGTCTCAATCTCCTGACTTCGCGATCCGCCTGCCTTGGCCTCCCAAAGCGCCGGGATTACAGATAAGAGCCACCCTGCCCGGCCTGAGTACTGTTTTTTCACTATAGTTTAAAAAAATAGTTAAAAATAATATTTTACAAATTCAAATCAAATTTTTGTGGGGCAGCCAAAGCACCTCCATTTCCTGTGGAATACAACTAAAGACCACTGCTCTGCCTCATCTATGGAACTCCCAGGGAGGTCATGGCCACCTACAAGAAGTCAGGTCTTCTGACCCAGCCAACTATTATAACAACTGGGAATAGAAAGGGCATTTCAATTCATTGAAATTGTTAACTCTGCCTCAGCTAGGAAGAATCAACAGCCTCCCATACCTGAAGTACTCTTGTGGCCTTTCTCTGCTTAGTTCCCAAGCTCTGAGTGTTTTCACAATTTTACAGCAAACGTTTTGTTTCTTCTGAACCCTCAGAAATGAGTCCTTCTGCCTAACGAAATTCTCTACATAGCTACATATCTGCTCTCAAAAGCATCGCTTTTCATTGTAACCATTTTTGATGGTTGTCTTAGAGCATATTCAGCATATTTTAGCCTTTACAGTTGCCTGTTTTTATTGTAGAAACAGTAGAAAACATGCTATTAAAACCCACCACGAAGGCACACAGCGTCTTGGGACATGCGCTGTGCTGAAGCAGGGATGTGGTCCCCTTATTTAGTGGCA